GCCACAGTCGCTCCATCACCGACGGTGGTGTCCGAAGGGACATCGCCTTCTGTATAAGTGGTAACCTGGCCAAGACAGTGTAGCGCCTTTTGGTCCAGAGCAAGGCCCGAGAGACGGTAGACGAGTGACCACAAGTAGGGGATGAAAAATTCGTCCGGCGACTCCTCCTCCACGTACTTGAACTTTAACTCCTGGAATTCCTACAGAGAAGTAAAGGAGTGTAATGGTTGTTAGCAGTGCTATTAAATGGCACGAGGCACCGCCTTATTGACCAGAAAGAGATAATTGTAAGGAGGGTGTCATTCCATTACCGTTAAAAACATGTACCGACTAGTTATTCAAAAGCGGTTTGTATGGCCAGCCGGACTGACAGACAGACAGATTCCGCAGGTGAGTTCAGGGTAGCCAAGCGATACGTAGTGCCAAATGTTCCACTGCCTACGGGTCAGGTGATGATGGCACCGTCTGTACATGTCTGGCAGTTTACCAAATGCATCCGTAAACAAATCGTGATGAAATCCGGCTGCGGTCTAGAACACCAGCAGAAGGGATAGGCACTAGCAAACAGTCAAAAAATGCAGTCCTTACTCAAGAGTGAAGTTAGGAAACGGGTCATCGGATTCACTCAGCGGCGACGCAATAGTTAGCCTAGTTATAAAATAAAGTTCATTTGGCATATATATTCTCGACAATCTCATCCCAATCTCATCTGGCGGGTGCAATTGCATGGATAATTACATAGAGCGAACACAACGGCAATTGGTAGCCAGAGCTAAAGAGCACTTGCCGACTTGGCTATTAAAACAGGAGAATAGAACTCCTCGTTCTTCCATCACTGAACACTTAATGAATACGGGCCATTCTGTTGACCCCAAAACATCTTTCCAAGTACTTCTTCGGACACGAACAGCTCATACATTGCGCTACTTGGAGGCAGCCTCTATACGACGGTCAAAACCCGACCTATGTAAACAGCTGGAACATGTTGTGAACCTTGCTTTGCCCTGGT